ATTCGAATAATAATTCAAAAATTATTTTCAATTTCGATTTTTATTGAAAAATCAAGCTTTTCTAACCTTAACCTGTTAAAATAAACAGCACTGTCCTTTTCTACGATCGTCTATCTTTTTCTTCACCATTCAAATTCGCNNNATTCGAATAATAATTCAAAAATTATTTTCAATTTCGATTTTTATTGAAAAATCAAGCTTTTCTTAACCTGTTAAAATGAACAGCACTGTCCTTTTCTACGATCGTCTATCTTTTTCTTCACGACTCAAGATTATAATTCGAATAATAATTCAAAAAGTTATTTTCAATTTCGATTTTTATTCCTGAACTGCTCGAAGTTACGAGTTTGTTACATCAACTCTTTTCTCTCCAATGGTGACTCTCGATCATTGTTGCGGCAATATTTATTTAGAATATCGCTTCATAAATAGGTTCCTAAGCCCTTTATAATCTTATGAGAATAATATATTGTTAAATGGGTAGATTTATTATTATTTATTTAATTTATTAAATTAGACCGTGATCGTGAGTCGAGCGACATGTTAGTCTGAATTTGACAGTCGTGGGAATAGAAATATTATTTTCAAACTTTTTGAGATTTTTAAGCATGGAATATGATGAAGATGAGTTTAATTTTTCGTCATTGAATGACAAAATTACTTTTATTCATAAAGAAATTAATGATGAACGTAGAGATGAAATAAGAGGTACAAGAAGGCGAAAAATAAGAAAAATAGATAGCGAATGTGAAAGCAAGTTGAAGCGAAGATGTCGCAGAAGACACAGAAAATTCGAAATGGAATCGGAATATATCGCGAAGAATACAATTTGTAGGACCACAAGTTTCTTATTATTAATATAAATATACCATTAGATCTTTTTAAAGTATCTTTTACTTAATGAACTTATTAATGAAATAATGCTTTATATACTTATTAATAACTTATTAATGAAAAAACGAATAATTATGCGATAAAAAAGTTAGAAGGAAAAGTGTTGCTCTACTGACAAAGGATGCATCTTGCTTCATAAAATAATATAGATTTTAATATTCGATAAATTTTGTAAAGATACGTATCGTGACATTAATTACATTAATTATCAATTGTTTTAATTATTTCATTTTAATTATTTCCCTTGAAGAGAATAGGGTTAATGGATAAAGTTAATCGAAAAAATTCGTGGTGCACATACCTTGATGAAGCAATCGTTGAAGGAAAGGTTGTGCCTCAACGAGTTCTGCCATCTTCGAGTGTCCTTCCTGTAATAGGGGAAGCGATCGGCGATGAACTTGTAGATCTCGGCCAGCGGCAGCATCTTGTCCCTCGACGACCATATCGCCATCGCTGTCAACGAGATGTAGGAATATGGCGGCTTCTGGTCGCCGTAAGTGTCCCTCGACGGTCGAGGCATCTCTCCAATTCCTTCCTCTCAACTACCCCAATTCCTCCCCCTTGATCGAATTCCACTAGTT